TTAAGTTGCTTCCAGTTCTTTGCTATTTCAAACAACACCTTTATGAACATTTTTTAAATTTATCTCCTTGTATACATACATATACAAGAGTTTCTCTCTAAGGAGTGGAATTGCTAGGCATGACGTGGTTTCCATGTTTCTGGAATTGCTATTGTTTTTGGTGAGTTTGGGATAAACATGTAAAACTGCACAGGTAGAAAGGGTAAGTTTGTACCATTTGTTCTTAGTGTAAAAAAAGAGACTCCCAAGAGCCCCAGGACAGCTGCTTCAAAGGTTGTGGCTCACCTGCATTGTAGAACTGAGGCTGGGAGCTACTGCAATCGATGACCACAGACTTATGCTGCTCCCCTGTCATGGCCATGCACAAAGATGTCATGGTGCCTTCGTGAATAAGGCCTTGAAGACTGGCCACACTCAGAAACCTGCCATATACACAGTCCTTTGTCACAAACAATATTGAAGGATAGGAGGGAGAAAGCAAATTCATTCTGCACTAGGGTGGGTATTAAAAAGATAAATATCAGGCTTGCTACAGAGAAGGTTCTCTCTTTGCAAAACTGTTCTTTACCTGTTAATGTCTCTCTTTGTTTTTTCATCTGATTCTTTAACCTCAACAGGAGTATAACTCAGAGCCTACAAGAGAAAAATTAAGCCTGACACATGTATTCCAGTTTTCCTTATTAAGCAGCTACTTGTGCCTAAACATCACCTTCCTCAAAATACTACATGCTTAATGGGTATTGCCCAGGGGCTCTCCATAGCTTTGTTCAGCTGCTACTGATAACAGTCTGAAACTTGCTTTACTGCCTGGTCTCATGGACCCATCCAGTCTCAGTTGCATCCACCCACCACATATTTTAAATGAAAACCTAGCCATTTACTCAAGCCTTCCCCGGTGTCTGGATATTTTAGTGAAATTTCACTTTTTACCTGAACATTTTTATATAGTTAAAATCACTTTGGATTTTTGTTTTCCTTCTCAAATTATTTTGGAAAATTACACCTCTCCCAGATCATTTCAAAAAGTAATTATTTAAAAATGTCTTCCTATTAGGAAGACTCCATATTTGCAATTCTACCTTAGTAATGTAACTTCCTAGATCTGAGTAAATAGACAGTGATCTATCCTGATGGCAAGCATTGCTTGAATGAATATTCAGGAAAGAAGGAGAGTAATGTTTAAGAAAATGAATGTCTTTAATCAAAACTCTGCCAAAGTGATTCTCAATTAAGGAAGTGCTTTTGTTTGGACAAGACTTACGGCATGTAGCAGAAAGGTAAGCTTCTCCTGAAAGAGAAGAACCACCCGCTGGATTGGGCATACAACATCCTCAAACCAGCTGCTCAGGTAGGACTTTATATGGTTCTCCAGGCCCCTTTCCTAGATCAAGAGAAAATGTCACTTGCTTTAATATAAGCCTTTGCCTTAATGGACTTAACATTTTCTTCACAATACTCTTGTCAGTGAAAAGAACTGGGGACACCTCCTTTTTTTAAGCTAACACCACCAACTCAAAAAAGGGAATTATGATATAACTTTCCTGGGCTTGTTGGGCAGAGTGGGGATTCTGTACTGAATTTCTTAAAAACACAGTAAGAAATGCATTACATAAAATGAAGAGACTGAATTAGTAGGGTTTTTTGCTATTTCTTCATTGGAAGGAGTTGTGCATTTGCACATCCATCTCCCCTCAGTATACTGTATACTCACTGGAGATACTCTCTTAATAATCCTGTTTCCTCGGCACTTGGTACAGTGTCTGAAACATCTGTGTATGAGCTTTTAAAAATACATGTTGAATGAATTCAGAATGTAAACAGATACTTCATTCACATTCAACATGTGAATAGGGAAGGATACAAGTTAACTTATCACAACACTCAAAAGATACATGCTAACTCACCAAAGCACTAAAGCCCACTCCAGTTGTGAGACATGCTGCTATGAGCACATCTGGTTTTCTAGACTGTGCTTCTCTCTGGGGACTAGTGGAATAGCTCCAGTCTGGGAGAACAGCTCCCCCTAGACTCATATCCCTGGCTCATTCTTATGCGATCCTTTCCTTTCCTATAGTGTCTTGTAAGTGCATGATAAGTATAAGGAATTGTTACCACATGTGATGGGTAGTAAATTTATAAGAGTTATGGTATTAACAACTGCTACAAGCTGAATGATAGTTTTTAAAGGTATGAATAAGTTAATAGATATGGATGTATCTAATTCATAAAATATCAATTAATGAAAAATGGAATGTTTCTAAAAATCTTTGATGTTGAGTTCAAGGATAGTCACACCATTGCATAGCTTGTCTCTGGTGTCAAAGGCTTCATGGACCATTAATTCTCATAATATAAATCTTATGTCCTAGAAATCAAGAAAAGAGCATCCACTTCCTCACTTGGCATATTACCATACCACTGAATTTAATGGATTGAATTTTTCATGGATACAAAACATCAGAAGCAATCTTGTGAAGCTTATAGCACTTAAAAGACTATGTGCCCTGTTTCCTTTAACAAGAACTTTTCAACTATCCCACAAAGTAGCAAATTTTTAGAATTTAGGTGTCTTTGTGTCCACCTGTATGATTTGATAAGTATAGCAGTTACAGTATGTTAATTATCTCAGTCTTCAAAAACTATTGAATCAATCATCTTACCTCACAATTCATATTATTTTTCAGCCCTTGAATGTACTTGTCCAATTCAAGCCTGAAAGTATGTTCTTAAGGAAGTAATAAAGGATGAATCAAGACAGTATTTTCTCTCTCAATAAGATATATAAAATCTTGCAAATAACACAAACTAAAACAAGCCAAGACAAACTGGTCGTATGAAGATAAGAAATTCAAGTAAATACATAAGAGGTAGGAAAGCTTTTTGGAGGTCAGTAGTAATACTCCTCAACTTGCCTTCCCATAACTTTTTTCCTGATATCCTCAAAGACCAAAGAAAGGATATAGCTCAAGTCCTTTTTCAGACCCTCCTAAAAAACAGACCACATACTCTGAAGGGTTATGTTCAGAGTCCATTGTTGCTGTTTCGGGAAGCAGTTTTTGTTGGAAAAGGCAGTAATAACAACCAACCCGGTAACCTGGAATTCTAGAAAGAAAAAGGTACAATATATTATTTTGATAACTCATGCATATAATTATGTCGGCTGTTCTAAACCCTGGTTATCTGGATCTGGCAATACTGTTATATTACCAACTAGGTCAGAACTTTCCAGACTTCTCTTTGGTTTACTTGTAACAGCAGAGGAAAATGAATGTTTACCATGATGTGCTTTAGCTAAAGCAGCACCTAACAAACATGGAATTTCTTTGAATTTAGCTATTTTATGCAAAAATTCATGCAAAGTTTACTCTTGTTCATAGTACATCCATGTTTACATAACTATAAGCATATTCGCTCCCCCTCCCAAAACTTCACGAATCATTGAACTCCAGGCAGATGTAACATGTTTATCCTGTAGCCTTATCTTTGACCTGTGACCTCATATTCCTCAGTGGACTTAATGCCAACATTATAGTCTGAAGTGAAGTATAATCAAGGGGTGTAATATCAAAAGACAGTAGGAATTCAACCAAGGACAACTAGATTTAAGCCTGAACTCCATCAATACGACCAGCCTTGGGACCCAAACTCTGAGTTAATTTCCTTATCTGTAAACATAAGTAAGAGTATATCCCTATTATCCCTTCGTAAGGAGAATGGCATCAAAATTTGTGAAAGTACTTTAAAATTTGTGAAAGTACAAACTATAAAGTATACAATTTTAGCTTTGGTAATTAATTCTTTTCTTCCAAGTACAAGACTAAATAAGTACACTTAGGAGGCAGAGCCTCTGCCATTCAATTAATTCCACTCCACAAATGTTTATTTGTAAGGCCCAGGCTCGGGCAGGCAGAGTACAAAGATGAATTTTGCAGGTCTAGTGGGAGCCGATCTTTTGGAGTTTCTCATCACTTCTCATATTTAGCTCAAAAATAAAAACTCAAGACGCAGCACATTTTACACTTACCTCAGCTCCACAGATGCAACATTACCCAGCCCTTCAAAAACTGCTCCCTTAGAAAGACGCTTAGCAATGAAACTGCGCAGCTCTGGCTCCACTTCAGATGGTAGATTAGTATCCACCAGGGAGAGGCTTGACAAATGAAAGACACACACTCCTTACTAGTGGACAACTGCATTCACACCCCTTAAGTAAGATTATTACTAAAAGTCAGAGTTCCTTTAAGGACTTGGAAAAACTTTCTATCTGACTCCTGCTGGTGAGGCTTCTAAGAATGCATGCCATCAAGTATGAGCGAACTCATCAAACAAGTTTAAAATTGTAGTATCTTTCCAGCTCATTCTCTCTAGTATTATGTCTCTACTGGGACCCCCAATCCACTGACCTTACCTTTTTTACGTAGTCCCTCAGTTTCACATCTCACTTCCCTCCTCCTTACCCAGCTTAAATTCCATGGTCGGTCATAATCACACCCCTGCACACATTCTCATCTAACCTCTTTGTTGTCTTCACCTCACTGTACTTGCTTAGCAAAACTTCGGCCCTGGTTAGTCCAGCTCTCTACCTACTCTGCACCTGTATCTATACAGTTGAATCTGGACAAAACCTCACATCCACAATGTCTACTCTCATTTTAAATTAATGATCACCTAGCCTCAAGTGGGCCCTTACTGCTAACCAGCTATCACTACATTTCCTGGTTTACTCACTCTTCTATTCTCCTAAGTCACTATTTTATACCTCCTTTCCTCTATCTTCCAACTACCTGCTACCAATGAATAAACAACGTCAGCTTAAGAATTGTTTATGAGCTAAAAATAAATATTTTAGTTTGGTTTAGATTAGAATATAAAGAGTCTATAATCTCAATATGTAGGAGAAAAGGTCTTCTATAACCAAATTTCCCCGTAGAGAACATGAACCCAATACTTGTCAAGGTCTTTTGTTTTATATTAGGGAAAATTTCAAACATAAAAAGTAGAATAGTATAATGAACCCACACATACCCACCACCCAGTTTTGACAATTATCATCTTATGGCCAATCTTGTTTCATCTGTACTCCCATGCTGTCCGCACCCTTCCACTTTCCAGATTTTTTTTTTTTGAAGCACGTCCCAGGCATCATATCAATTCGTCCATAAATTTCTCATTGGGTATCTCTGCTTTGCATGAAGTGTTAAGGTTCATTCCTTCCTTCCTTCCTTCATTCAATAAATATGTATTAAATGTCTACCCTGTGCCATATACCATTCAAGGTACTAGATAGGGAGATATCAATGAACAAAAGAGACAACAATCCCTGTGGTCCTGGAATTTATATTCTACTGTGCATCGGAGGGCATTCTCAGAGGGAAAAAAGGAAGATTTTAAATTGGTTAGTACCCATATGATACTGAATATTTACTGGAGTTCCAATCAAGAAACTCAGAATAATTGTTTCTGTCCCAGGCTTGAATAAATGAACTAATGAGGAAATCAAGATGAAGTTCCCATGAGATAGGTGGGCTTGATGGTTTGAGTCAGGGAAAGCTGAGTGGAAATAGGGGATCCACTGACATCTACAGGCCAGAGATGCACAGAAGATAAAGGCACATGCATGGGTTATGGTCAAGCTGTTTTTACCTGAAATCATCACCAGAGGGAGTTTCTGCATTTGTACCACTTGGGCTTCCATCATCACTGTCCCCTCGCTGCTGTGCCACTCTGCATGCCACAAAAACAATAAAACTATCAATTAGTGGCCCTAACTCAAGCGGAGTGTAGGGGAACCCCACAAACAGGGTAGAGGCGAACAATTAGCTAAATATGCTGCAAAGTGAAAGTGCATGGATCCTTCACTGCCTACCCTGACAGGGAAAACCCATAAAACAGTGCTGATAAAAGCCCCTTCTTTCTCCACACTACCTAAGGGGCGGGATAAAGGAATTTAAGTATCCAGAAAAGTCAAGGAAATTGCCTCTAAAAAACAGATTTTAAAGGGCCAAGAGAGCCCCAGGAGAGTCAGCCGGTCGGAGAAAAAAGAGGCAGCAAGGAGAGAGGATAACCAGAGAGTGGGAATGGCGTGGGGGAACGGGAGAAAGTGGGGAGATAAAGACAGGAAGGACAGGAGATGGAAATCAACATCATTGAACATGCGAGGCACTGCGCTAAAGAAAGGGCACAGGAGACAAGAAGTGGCTGAGAAAATGACAGGGACAATTAGGCTTTAGAGGGCCAAGCACAAAGTCCCGGATGGGGGCCCGGAAGAACGCCATGAGGCCAGGAGGGTCCTTAGGGCCAAAACCCTCGGCTGGCAGAGAAGATGGCGTTCGAGAGCGGCCAGGCCGCAGGGCCGAGGTTGCGATGCGGGGCCGGGGCCGGGGCCGGGGCCACAGGGACTGCCGCGCGCTGCACCTGCTTCCGCGGTAGCTGTAGAGACAGTAGTGGCTGCTGGGCGGCGGCTCGAGTTTCCGCTCCTCGGTGGAGCCACCCTCCTCACTGCTCTCTAGCTCCTTTTCGTCCCCATCGAGCGATTCCTGCAAGGAGGGAAGCATCGCGGCGGCCTCCGAGCGGCCCTGTGTCCCCGCCAAAGCGCTCCCCCGCTGCCATACAGTCCTCGGCGGCCAGGCTCGTCCGGGTCTCGGCCCTTGTGCACCTGCGTTCCGTTGGTTTCCCCGGATTGTCAGAAGAAGAGGAAGCTGTCCTGGAAAGGCTTTTCTCCTCGCAGGGTAGCGGGCTCACTAAATTCCTTTACGGAAAAACGCTTATCGTTTCTCTTTAACGTCTTTTTCTTCACTATCGTTTAAGACTTGGCGTGTGACAAAGACTAGTTAGGCCCATGGAAAAATATAAAACTGCCTTCCTACCTCCTTTCAAGTGCGCAAATATAACGAAACACTTAGAAGCCATAAGAGAGAAGATTGATAAATCAGACTGTGTAAACACTAAACATTTCTGTGTGGCCCAAAGTCAAAAACATAAGTGACAAACTAGGAAAAATATTTGCAACATACATAATAGATGAATGGTTGCCATTTGTCAAAACGAACAAACAAACAAAAACAGACAACAAGCAGTTCACAGAAGAAAAAATAAAAATGAAGAACATATAAATAAACTGCTCAACTTCAAATAAAATTTATGGTCTATTGTACTACTTTTCCCCTAGCAGATCAGCAGAGATTTAAAAGTTTGATAATCCCCTGTGTTGGGCTGTGTAAGGAAGCAGTCATTCTCATAAACAGTTGATAAGAATAAAATTAATGCACAAGCTTTAGGAAAAAATTTGAAAATATCTGTAAACATTTTAAATGCATATGCCCTTTGACTATCAATGCAATACCAGGACATCATCAAATAGACATACTCATGTAAGTGAAAATACGAGAATCCAAAGATATTACTTGCAGCATAGTTTGTAATGATGAAAAACTAGACACAATCTGAATGTTAGTCAATAGGGGATTACTTAAATAAGTTATGGGACATGCAGTAGTAGGCAGAATAATGACCCTGAAAGATGTTCACATACTAATTTCTGAAACCTAGGAATGCGTTACCACACAAAACAAAAGGGACTTTGCAGGTGTGATTAAATTAAACATCTTGAAATGAGAAGATTATCTTGGGTTATCCAAGTGTACCCATTGTAACCTTAAGAATCATTATAAGAGGGAGATAGGAAACCAGAGAGGAGAAGACAATTGTGATACCTAAAGCAGAGATTGGAATGATTTGGCACCACAAGCCAAGGAATTCATGAATCCTCTAGAAGCTAGGAAAGGCAGTAAACAAATTCTCCCCTAGATCTTTCAGAAGGAATGCAGCCCTGCTTATTCATTTCAGATGTCTGACTTCCATAACTGTAATATAATAAATTTTTGTTATTTTAAGCCCCTGTTTGTGGTAATCCATTACAGCAGCAATAGGAACCTAATACAAAAGAAGACTATACAGCTATTAAAAAGAATGAATTAGAGTATGTGCACATATGGAAAGATAATCCAGTATTATGTTTTTGTTCTAAAGGAGCCAGCAACACAACTAAAGAGACAAGGCATGCATATGGGGAATGTGATTACTGCCAAGAAAGTAATGTGGATATTAGGGTGATCTTAGAAATCTCATTACTGGCCTCACGACCATCTATGAACGTAATTTGAAGACATTAGGATTTGCAAGTTGGTCTATCAATTGCCCACAACAATAGTATCAAAATAGCATTTACAGTTTAACAGTTACCATTTCTTTAGCAGCAATCATGATCCAGGATATTTATCTATTTTATTTCATTTATCCTTAGATGAACCCTGTAACAGAGGGGTTTAGCTTCATTTTTAGATGAGAAAACTGAGGCTCAGTCAATATAAGTGACCAAACTATGTCTTATCTGATTTCAAATCCCTACCCTTAACTTTTTTTTTATGTCATATTCCCCTGCTTGGGTCTTAGAAACAAACCTGAGAATAAGGCTCTGATATTGTGACATACAGGGGCCTTTATAATTTGGATTTTACCTCCCTTTCTGACTTCATTTCCTATCATCCTCTCCCTTGCTCACTTTGGCCCAGTCACATTTCTTGGTATTTCCCAAACACTCCAAGTTTTTTTCTGGTTTTTCTAATTTGCTCTTCTCTCTGCCTGGAATGCCCCCAAATATTTTCATGTCTTCTTCCAGCACATCGTTCAGGTCTCTGCACAAATATCATCTCCTCAGAGAAACCTTTTCTGACTGTCTTATACAAAAGATATCCTATATACACCTCCACTGCTGTCCCATCAGTCTATATCCTATCTTCATCATACTCATCACGCCTGACATTATGTATATTTTTATTGTCTGTTTCCTCCACTAGAATGTTAACTGCTTTACGGCTGTGTCCTCTATCCTAGCACATGGGCTGTGGTGGTCAGGAATTGTTTGCTGAATTAATTTAAGAATTTGTAACTTCTCGGCATCTTTTTCTTCCATGTTTTACCTTATACTGTATCAGAGATATTAAAGGTACACATATATTCCACATTAACTTTACATAGAAAAATAATAGCTAACATTTATTGAGCATTTATTGTGTGTGAGGATTCTTTTAAGTGCTTAACAGATATTCATTTAATTCTCACGATCCCATGAGGTAGATATTATTATTCCACTTTACAGATGAGTAAGCTGAGGCCAGTTACTTTCGTCCATGGTGAGAAGCTAAGAAATGGCAACGGGGCATTCAAAACCAAACACTTTGGCTCTAGAACTCTTAATACCACAAAATCAAGTTGAGAATGACTTGTCACAAAATTGTTTTGTAGCCATTTAACTAAACAGTTATTAATTTCAGAGTTGTATTTGTTTTCATGTATTTAGATCTTATTTAATTTCTTACAACAATATTTTGGTTTTCAGAGTGTAAGTTTTGAACTTCTTCTGTTAAATTTATTCCCGTTTTATTTTTTACAATGCTGTCGTAAATAGAATTTTCTTAATTTCATTTTTAGATTGTGTAGAGAGCCAGATCTGAGTTGGACCTATGGCCATAGCCTAAGTCAGGATCTATGGTCAAAAGCATCAGCAAAGTCACGATTGTCTGAGTTGCAATCTGCCAAAGGCAGAGAAGCAAATAAAGACCATTGGCAAAGCCATGCCCAACTGTGTAGCAATCTGCCAAAGGCAGAGAAACAAAACTGTTAACAGACAGCTGCTTCTAGTTTAGCAAAGATAACCAGGTACAGACAGGCCTTGGGAAATTATTGCTGCCAGCACGTTTCAAGTCCTGAGAAGAAGACTCCCACTCCCTCCCCGACCTTCAAAAGTATATAATAAATGTGCTAAACTTGCCTCGGGCTCACTGTATCTTCAGCAGAGTGCAGTGTCCCACCTGGCCCCAGCTTTTGTATATACCATCTCTGTGTTTTTCTCCATCTTTCCGTCACCCCTGCTCAGGTTAACCCTCTAGCAGTGCAGGTTGCGGCACGTCGCGTCCAACGTGGGGCCTGAGTACGGGAGAACTCCATCCATTGAGGGCTCTAGCCATTGTAAATTCCATCCATCCATCCATCCATTCAGATGGAAGGACACTGCTGGAGGACGCATCCAACACTTAAAGGTAAGTGATGGTGAAGAGTGAATTGGTTTCGCTGGGTGTAAAACATGGGAAATTCTGGATCCCAAGAGAGGATCTTTTATGTACAGATGCTTAAGGCTATGCTTAGAGCTATAGACTATAAAGTAAAAGGAGAGCAGTTAACAGAATTTTTATGTTTTATGCAAGAAATTTGTCCTTGGTTTCCAGAGGAGGGAACCGTAATAGTCAGACTATTACGGGAAAAAATAGGAAAGCAATTACGGGGATGTTATACCTTGGAAGGGCCTGATAAGATCCCCATTTTCACATTTCCTCTATGGTCTTTAATAAGGGATTGTCTAGATTCTACCCGAGAGGATCAGAGACTCCGAGGAGAAGAAGGTAATGAGTTAATTGCGACACTTCAAAGAATTTTGGAGGGGCATGAGAACCTTCGTACTCCTCTACCGCCTTCTACTCCTCCAACACCATTGCCACCTGGATATAAGCAAGAAATGGAGAGGGAGGCTCACAGAGATCAGCAGACTAGAGGAGGAGAAAACCCTGAAGGGGAGGAAGAGGGTGCACTTTTTCGTGACTTTGGGTGGCTAAGCTTTATGGTGCAACCCCAAGCACAGAAAGGAAAAATGTCCTGGCCATTGTTATCACCTTCGCAGCAGTGCTTGCCACGGGCTCAAAATCAATGGCGGCGGGACTTAGCATGTCCCGTCATTGAGCAGCCTGACCCAAATAATCCAGGACAGCTGCTGTGAGCTCATGAACCCATTTCATTTAAAGTCCTGAAGGAACTTAGAGATGCTACTGCTACTTATGGGCCAACTTCTCCATTTGTCCTTAGCTTGCTTGACTCAGAGAATTTGGGTATATTGGCCCCTCATGAATGGCAGATGCTGGTCAAAACTTGTTTGAATCCAGGTGACTATTTGTTGTGGAGAACAGGATGGTTTGATCAAAGTGCTGCCCAAGCACAGCGTAATCAGGCCTATGGAATGCCCACTAACCAAGATATGTTACTAGGGATAGGACAATATGCTGGAGTTCAAAATCAATTGACTTATAATTTTCAGGCTTATCAACAAATTAATATATGTGTTACAAGAGCCTGGAAACTTTTGCCTGCCAAAGGGGAGAAAAGTGGAGAACTTAGTAGGATTCGACAAGGTCCAGAGGAACCTTATTCTGAAATTGTGGCTCGCTTGCTACAGGCGGTAGGGAAACTTATAGGGGATCCAGAGGCAGGTCAGATGTCAACTAAGCAATTGGCACTTGAGAATACTAACAAAACTTGTAGAGCTGTCCTACATCCATATAGGGAAAATGGAATGATTAATGATTTTATTCACCTTTGTGCTGATATTGGTCCTGCTTATGTTCAGGGGGCAGCTCTTGCCACTGCTCTAAAGGAGGTGCTTCCTGCAAGACAAAAAGGGGAAAGAAAAAAAGGGACTTGTTTTGTATGTGGAAGACCTGGTCACTTTGCTAAAGAGTGTCATTAATGGACAGCAAAGTTTGCAGCCCCACCTATACAACCTCCTTTATGTCCTCGATGTAGATGAGGATACCTATCATTGAGTGAATGAATGCCAATTAAAATCTA